GCCGTCGTTGGCGCCCGCGCAATCGGTTCGCGACGGCGAGGACTTCGCGGTGGCCAAGGCAGTTCGGTGCATACTGGGTGCTGACGATTGATTGCAAGGCCACAGTGGCTGGCGCTAGAGCGCCTCGCTGGGCGGCGAGGCCGCGCGCGGCGGAGGGAGACCCGTAGCTTGGCATCAACGACAGCCCAGTCGAGGCGCTGGCGGTCAAAGTGGAGTTGCACCTGGGCGGGCAGGCGCTCCGGGGCGGCAACATCTCGGCGACCGACCTGTTCGGCAATCGCCAGGCTGATGTCCGCGCCAACCAGGGGGCTGGCCCGGGCAGGGCCAAGGAGAAGGGCATCCTGCTGATCACGGCGTGCACCGAGATGGCCCAGTACGCAGGGCCCTTAGGATACCGATAGGCTCATCCATGGAAGCCATTGGCTTGGGAAAGTGGCCCAACACCGAGGAGGCCCTGGGGGGCGGCGCTTTCCGCGCGAGCACCTGGTGGTCTCGGCGGCTTCCACGGCCGGCCCGGAGCGGTGCCCGGCCGTTCTCCCTCTCCGGCTCTCTCGGGGCCGCGAGGCGGGGCTGCCAGCGGCGGCGGCGGCGGCGACTGGTGCCCCAGGACTCAAGAGGAGGACGCGCGAGCGCGCCGGCCAGCGCAGCCCCTGCGCGCCACGGCTGGGTCGCGGCCGCTGCGTTGCCGGGGCAGGTGCTCGCCGCGCACGCTTTTGCCTGCGAGGGGGAGGCCTTGCGGCTCGGGCGCGCTGGCTTGGAGCGCCGGCGAGCGGCCCGCGCGTCGGCGGAGGTCGGCGACCGCTCGCGGGTTCGGCGACGCGGCGGGCGGGCAGGTGCCGCTCGCGCGGCTGAGAGCTCGAAATGTCCGTCGGGTCCCCCGTCTGGGCGCTCTCCTGGAGCCGTCTTGGGGGCCAGACTCTTGGGCCGTCTTGGAGGCGTCTTGGGCCTCTTGGGCCGTCTCAGGGCGATCTTGGGGGCCTCTTGGGCCGTCTTGGCGCGTCGGGAAGCAGGAGGAAAGGGGGCGACAGAGACGACGACCAACGAATGACGTAAATGACGACTTGAACGGTCGGACAAGCCCCTCGCACACGCCGACAGGGTCGGCGGACTTGGGGGTTCTCCTCTTTTCGGCTCCCTGACGCTTCAAGACGGTGGTCTTCTTGTCGTCCGAAGCCGCCTGGGAGGCTCGAGAATCGCCCCACAACCATCGGAAAGGGCTTCCAGGCAACCCAAGAGAGCCCCAAGACGGCACAACAGCGTTCCAAGGCGGCCTAAGAGAGCCCCATGACGGCCCAAGATGGCCCCAAGACACTTTCCGAAACATTCCAAATCGTGACCGGGTCGTTCAGGGAGACGGCGGTTGAAGGCAGGGTGGTCCAGAAGGCCTCCAGAAGGCCTAAAGAAAGCTTGAACAACTTTTATGAGGCCCCCAGAGGCTCTCCAAGGAGGAGCTTCCGCAAAGAAACTGAGGAGGATGGGGAGAATACGCAGGGTATGGCGAGAATGAAGAAAAATAAACGTGGAGGAAGGATAACGAACAACATGATTATAACGGCGATGCCGGAAAAGGCAACAAACAGTTATCGCTAAATGTTCGGCAGGGTTTTCTTGCCATTTCGCTTGCATGCCAAACGTCAAGGACCAAGGTGCATGGCGCGAAGCGCTGATGCAGCCTTGTATGTGTACATACACGTATGCGTACGTATACTCGTATATGTAAGATGTATGTGTATGCGTGTGTACGCGTAATATGTAACACGTAGGTAATGTACATTTGATATGTAGTATGTATTATGGATATGTTCAGTTGTAGGTAGAAGTATGTGCGTATATAAGTGTATGCATGAATAGTATTGTGTGTTTGCGCATATGCATATTCATTTGTACATGTGCATGTGTAAGTATATGTAAATGTGTATAAACACATGTATGCGTATAGTTATATGTATATGTGAATTAGCTGGTGCTGCATGTGTATATGTGTGTCCTTATATGCAGGTACATGTATATGTCATACATATGCATGTATGTATGCACGAATGTATGCATGTACGTCTGTCTGTCTGTCTGTCTGTCTGTCTGTCTGTCTGTCTGTCTGTCTGTCTGTCTGTCTGTCTGTCTGTCTGTCTGTATAGATCTCGACGTACAACTGGCGCGTGAGTGCCCAGGCTCATGCAAAGATCTGTGCAGGGTGTGTGTGTGTGTGTGTGTAGTGCGTAAGGTGTTTTCTATTTGTGTTGTGTGTTGTGTGCGTGTGTTGTGACGCGGGTGTGGGGGGGAGCCCCCGCCCCTGCGCGTTGGCTGGCACTAACGCGGCGCGAATTCCAGGATTTGGAGGGAGGTTAACCAGATTTTGGGAGGGACGTCGCCCCACCACAGGCCGGTTCCTCTAGTGCAGCATGCCCCTGCAGCTCGGAAAAGCCGTGTATAGGTAGCGTGCACCCCCATCAGTGCCCGTTGCACGTAAGGCCCCTAACGCATCGCAGTCGAATCCCCGTGCCCGCCCTGAAGGTCGCTGTGCGCTCCTCCGCCACCGCGGAAGACCTCCCGGACGCGTCGTTCGCCGGCCAGCAGGAGACGTACCTGAACGTGTCTGGGTACGAGAACCTGAAGGATCCCCGGCCCACGCGCGCGCACCCACGGAAAGTGAGAGGGGGCAGGCTTTGTCAGAAGGCGGCGGAGCTTCTCAGGGGGGCGGAGGGTAGGGGAGAGGGGAGAAGGGCAAACCAGTCGCGCCGGCGCCACATTTCCCGTCCAGCCCCTCCCACCCGTTCCTTCTGGTTGCGCTGAGTTAAGCTGTATCGATTTGGGTGTCCCAGAGGACCGTGGTCCTCGAAATGACCCCGTCTTGTGATGCACAATCATAAATGAGGACTTTGTGCATTGGAGGGGGATGAAAGCGGAAGAACAGGAGAAGGAGAAGGTGATGGAGGATGAGCAGGAATATGGAGGAAGAGGGCGATGGAGAATGAACAGAAGGAGGATATGGAGGAGGAGGAGGAGGAGGAGGAGGAGGTGGGGGAGGATGGAGGTGGAGAGTGGCGGAGAAGAATGGGGGAGGAGGATGGGGGAGGAAGATCGGGGAGGAGGAGGAGGAGGAGGAGGAGGACGAGGAGGAAAGGGAGGAGGAGGAGGAGGAGGAGGAGGAGGAGGAAGAGGAACGCCAAGGATACCACCGCATCCAGCAATTCTGGGCGTTTTTTGATTATTTTAGGGTTGTTTTTTGTATCACGGTTTTTGTTGACAATTGTGTTTTGTCACACAGTTCTTTCTCGTGAGGTTGCAACATTGCCACTTGTAGCGCGTTCTGTAGAGATGTCCCTCGAGGTATTCGCGCGAGGCCGACTGGCGATCGTGCGCTGCGTTGCCCGTTTGCCTCGATGCACTTGCGCGTTGTTCAGGGGAGTTCGCACTAGTAGCAATGTGGTCGCTGCGGCGTTGCATCACTGTGTTTTAGGCGGTGCGTAGCACCCTTTTCGCTAGCCAGTTGCACGTGTCTTGCATGGACGGGACTCCCCCGCGCAGCGATACTTCGCGCGGCGTGATTGCGACGATTCTGTGCGGCGATGCGGTCGCTCATGTGGGCAGAACGCCTATGTGGGAAGACGCCTCCTGTAGCGTCTAGCATGCCGCCGAGCTTGTCCCTTTGGGTGTGCTGGGCCCCCGCCCCCTTTTCCCTTCTTGGCGGCACGCCCGCATTTTGGAATACCGTTCCGTTGTTGTTCGTCCAGCGCTTGCGTTTGCCACCTTCTTGAGGGGCGCTGATCATTCGTTGTTCGCCTTTTCCCCCGACCTTTTCCCTTTGCCCCCCTCCTCCACCCGCATCGTTTTTTTTGTTTCGTTCATGGCGCGCATCTCAAAGTGGAGGGCCCGGTTGGCCCGTGGAGGGCGTGACTTCGTGGACAAATCATACGCGCTGCGGTTGGGCACAGAGAATAAGGCGTTTGCGCCATGCCGATTTGCTCGCGGCAACTTCCGCGCACCGCGATTGCGCTACTTTCGACGTGGCGAGTTTTCGAGCACCACCTTCAAACCGTACCACGCGACTGATCGTCGCGCGTATCCGTGCAGAGGCCGCAACATGTGACACGCTTATCCGCGTCGCTTCGGGGTGTATTATTTCGTCTTCTTCCTCGCCTTCTCCCCCTCTGGGTCACTCGTCCCCCCGTAGTACTCCCCCCCTTCTTCCACCCCATCCTTCTCTTCGTCTTACCTTTCTTGTGGCTCACACGTGGCAATCCTGGGCCGTGTTGGGTTTGTCCTGGGGTCCTCTTGGATGGTTTTGGGGGCCTTTGGGGGCACTCTTTTGCAATTCTGTCGCTCTCTGAGACACTTCAGGGCCATCGCTGGCCGTCATGAGCTCTCCAGGGATCTGTTGGTTCCGTCTGGGGTCGCGCCCGCCTCCATGACGTCTTTCTTTTTTTTGCCTGCAGATTACCGGGTGCAGTGCAGCTACGGCGGCGACGGTAGCAGGTTCGTCTCCAAGTCTCGGCAGAACAGTTGCCCCGCGTTTCCGAGCGGGGTAGCTGGTTGGGGGCCTCCGACGGCCACGCTGGGACCCCTCCCGCTCCAAGAAAGCATTGTGGATGTAAGGAACTTCTGGGTTCCTTAACACATCCCCCAGGGGTGTCGATGATCCGAAGCACGAGACATTTGTCGATCCACCAAATTCCACCAGGAGTTCCCAGGGTCCCTAGTCCTTATTTTGGGTCCTCAGCGGTCACAGGTTCCACAGGTCTCACAGGGGGGTGGATGGGACAGGTGGATGGATGGTTAGGTATTACCATACTCTTGCCCTCCTCTTGCAGCCCTCCGTGGCGTCCCCCTCATGCTCTCTTGCTCCCCTCCTCCTCCTCCCCCCTCTACTCCTGCCCTTGTTGCCCTCCCCTTCTCCTGCGTTCCTCATACTTGCCCACTACTCCGACCCTCCTCCTGTGATTGGGGTGGAGGAGGGGGATATAGATAGCGAGGCGTCGTCCCCTTTTGGCACCCCAGCCGCCTGATCGGGTCCAGCTTGGGCTCCAGAGTCAGGGCCGCCATCGCCCACGGCGGAACGCGAGTCGGCGGTCTGTGAATATGGCCCAAGCCCACACAGCATCCGAGGGGCCCTGCCTCACTCGGGGGGGAGGCGCCGCCTGCAGCGGCGCGGCCGCACGGCCAGAGCCCGACGCCCCTCTTCGCCAGCCGCAGCTGTCGTGGGCGCCCTCTGGCCCGCATGCCCTGCCCCGCCGCGCCCGGAGCGAGGCCCCAGACGGCGGCGGGACGCCCGCTGCGACGCGCCGCAGGGGCGCTGGCGCTGGGGGCGCTGGCGCGCGCCTTGGGCCCGCTGCCGGGCCCGCGTGGGCGCGCCCTGGCGTTCCCTTACCTGCCAAAGCACCCCAACGCAACCCGAAGGCCCCAGACCTCCCCTTGTGCTCTCCGTGTTCCCGAGCAGGCCCGAGGGCGACTTCGGGCTGGGTTGGGTCGGGGTGGCCCCGTGGGCAGTCAGGCGTGCGGCGCGCCCTGGCCGCGGCGCGGCGGCGGTGGCCTCGCGGCCGCCGCGCTGCCCAGCGGGGAGCCCGAGGGTGGCTCGGCGCAGAGCGGCGGGCCGTTGGAGCCCGGGGGCGCTGCGGCGCAAGGTGGCGACGCGCCAGAGCCGCGCAGGCAGGGCCGGGGAGCCGGGCGTGCACCGGAGACGAGAGGAGGGAAACTTTCTAGGCCTCCCAAGTGGGGTCCGGGCAGATGGGGTCGGAGGATCGCGCCGCATCGCTGATGCATCGGCGATGCGGGCCGATGTGGATCCCGTTTTGCTTCACGTCGACGTCGCCGATGCATCGCCGACGTCGACGATGCATCGCCGATGCATCGCCGAGGTATCGCCGATGCGGCGCGATCATCCGACCCCATCTGCTCGGACCCCATCTGGGTGGCCTCTAACACCGCTACCCTTGCCTGGTGCTCGTGCTCGCCTTTGAGGGCCTCCTGGGAGGCCCTCGTCGCCACGGCTGGATTCGCCTCGAAATCTTGGTCAGAACGCGCTGTGGGCAACGTCCGAGGAGCAGCAATATCGGTATCTGTTGGTCTCCCCAGGAGAGGGCCCCGTGGGACCTGTGGGCAGACCAGCGGGAACCCGGCGCCGTCGCCAATGTGGGGAGCTTCCAGATCCGGCGGCCGCTGGCCGCCGTGCCCTTCCTGCTGCTTGGCGTGTGCTTTGACCTCGGCGGCTCCATGCGCCTCCTCCTGTCTAGCCTGCCAGACCTGGCCCGCGGGTACCGCCTCGACAGCATCTACCCAGTGGTCGCCCCTGGCGGGAACCCGCTCGCCTGCGCCGCGAGCCCCGCGGCGTGCCAGAAGAGGTATTACGGCGGCCCGCCCTTCCGGTGCACCTTCGCCTACCCTGGGGACTGGTCCCAGGACCCCTCGGTCGAGCTGGCGAGGATGCGCCAGAGCGACGACATGCTGACGCTGAGGAGCGGCAGGGCGCCTCGTGGCAGCAAGCCGCTGCCCCTCGTCGCCGTCGGGCCCGCGCAGGGGGCGGGCACGGGCGGCCTCAGCGTGTCGCTGTACGCCCGGCGCACGCGAGCTGCTTCCCTTGCCGAGGCGCTGGGCACGCCCGCCGAGGCGCTGGCCTCCCTCATGGGCAGGTTCACGGAGCAGGCTCCGAAGCTGCGCGGCCGTGGGCCGCTGTCGGAGTCGGTGGCTGCGCAGGAGCTGGCGACTACAAGGGGTGTGGTCATGCTGGGGTGTGGTCTGCGATCAGCGCCGTTGGGGTTTAGGGGGTCACCACGTTGCGCCAAAGGTTTGCTGAGCCCTCGCCGGGGCGCAGCAGAGATCTCTGTCGAGGTCCTCGCCCGCACCCCCCAGGCGCGGTTCACACCCTTCGGAGTCGCCGAAGGAGGTGGCTGGCGCGGGCGACCCGGCCTACCGCCTCGAGAGCCGCGTGCGCTACCCAGGGGACGCCGAGGCGGAGGCCCTTTCCGTGTGGACCGTCGCGCTGTTCTCGCCCGACGCCGAGGGGGGGCACGTGCTGCTGCTCACCGGGGTGGCCCCAGTGCAGGCGCCGCCCGAGGCGCGCGAGGCCGTGCGCGAGTCGACCTGGAGCCTGGCTCGCCTGGGCGGGTAGCTGGCCGCTGGGCCCCCCGCTCACTCGCAGGCGAGGCGCCATCGGAACGCCTCGTGGCACGGCGATGTGCGGAGATGAAATGAATCGTGCCCGCCCCCAATCGTGGTTTGTCTTCTGATGCAGGCTAGCGGCAAGCTGCCCTTACGACTAAAGGCGTGGTGAAGGTTATAGCAAGTAACGCCATGGTATCTGTCTGTCTATCTGTCTGTCTGTCTGTCTGTTTGTCTGTCTGTCTGTCTGTCTGTCTGTCTGTCTGTCTGTCTGTCTGTCTGTCTGTCTACCTGTCTGTCTGTCTGTCTGTCGGTCTGTCTGTCTGTCTGTCTGTCTGTCTGTCTGTCTGTCTGTTTGTCGGTCTGTCACAACCTGGACGGATCCCTGCGCCAGTCCAGAGCTAATTCAAGTGTCTTCAAGGACGACATCCCCGACATTGCCAACCCAGAAGAAAAGGCCCAGCTGCTAGCGGAAGCCGACCGCAGACGAAAGGAAAAGGAAGTGATCAAGGCCCGTCAGGCACAGCAGGCTGGCTTTTCGGCGCGCGCCGACCTACCGCTCCTGGCCGACCACAGCTGGAAGGACCTGGAGGACGACGTCAACGTTGCAGTGGTGCGACTACTATGCTGCCCAGCATTCGGACCCTGCATTCTATGGTGCCTCGGGCTACATTCGCACCAGTACGGCGTCGCGGATCAGCCTATGGACCCCGGCCTGCAGGACAGGAAGGGATGGAGCATGAACGGGTACCTTTTTGTCTGCTCTACACTAGTAAGACTGGACGCCGGCAACCTGGTCTACACGGCGGCCTTTGCGACCATCATGTGGGCTATAGGGCTCGGAGTCTCGAGTAACGACATCGCCCACGCAGTCGACCCCAACCTGATCCCACCCAGAAGGGACCGACCGAATATGCCGGCAGCGTGGCATGTTAAGGAAGCCTGTATCCCCGCCGACGTCCCCAGGCGCAGACCCAAATGCTGGCAACCGTCCGCTCGCAAGTACCAAAAGCACAAGGAGTCACCCGCACCGCCGGTGTTTCAAGCCTTCTGCGACATGGACTCGAAAGGACGCCCGGCCACAGTCTTCAACAGCCTCCTGGACAGCACCGGCGCGACCCTGGGAGCCATCCGGACCAGGATCCTGCTCGCCTTGTCCTTGCTCATACAACGCGAACCGCGCACCTGCCTGTGCCCGTACGGGGACGCTGAGGGCATCGGCGACGCGATCGAGGCCATCCTCGGCTTGTGCGAGCCGTACCGCCCGCGCGATAAGACTGCTCGTGACCAGCTAGGCACACTGTTCGGACTACAGGGACGGCACTTCAGCCAGCTGCACTCGGCGCTGGAACTCCTGATCACTGCAGTGTCCCGCCTCGTCATGGTTGCCCACCACCACCCCCTGGCCAGGCGTGCGAACTGTCCCGCAACCTGGAGGGACCTCGAGGCTAGAAAGTTCCCACTCCAGGCCACCCCCGCGGTCATCGAAGGCGCCGTGTCTCCCGCTGACCTGTCAGCCCTGGCGAACCAGGAGTGCGCCGTATGTGCGCTCCACGTTGACATGCTCGGGTCCGGCATCGGCCTCGCCGACGACCCAACAAAGCAGGCAAGCAGCGTCATTTGGATAGGTGGAGGGTACTCATTCACGCGCCTGCACCTGGACGCGCCCGCCCCGCTCGGGCCACGCCCTGGAGTGGCGCCAAGGCCCCCGTGGGTAGACGACCGAGACACCAGGTGGACGAAGGAGCAGAACAAGGCTGAGTTCTACTGCCAAGGGTGTTTACGCGGCCCCTTCAAGCACGACAAAGGGGCGTGCGTCAGCAAGCGGATCTGCCAAACCATTACGGCCAACGGGCTAACGGAGCACTACCAAGGAGGGGGCCTCACCTGGCGCATCTGCTGCTGGACCACGAAGGCCATGGAAGATCGCCGGCCCATTCCAGACGATGTGGACTTCAAGGACTGGATCAACGACCGCCCCGACGACATGCCTGTGCGCACAACTCGCGCCCTGCCGGGAGTGTGCCCGACGTCGGCACCTGCGGCCTTCGCGCCCCTGGAGCAGCTGCTGGCCCCGCTGGAAGGCGAGCTGAATCCGCTCAACGTCGGAACCGCCCTCCCATCCAGTAACGCGCATGACGATCGCCTGATCTCTCACTTCTACAAGAAGGATTTCGGCATCTGGCGATGCGACGGCTGCCCCCCGGACACAGAGGGGCACATATGGGGGCCAGGGCAGCCATTCCCTGGCATGTACGGGCACGCCGCTGGCCCAGAAGGTCTCCGCGCCGGCTTTAGCCTGGCCCGCGGCCCCCCCCCCATACAGCTAATGAGGGAGATGTTCCCGACCGACCAAGCGCTGGCACGCAGGCTGGCGCTGCAAGGAGTGCCTGATCCACCAGTGGGACATGGCCCCGTCAGCAGCGAAACAAGTGCTCGACAGGTGCGGCCCTGACGCATACGCTAGCGCAGGAGCCAGACCTCTCGCCGCGCTACCAGGCGCCCCCCCCCCACCGCCTCGACAGGGGACGCAGTGCGCCCCAACCAGAAGGAAGTGCAGCGGCGCGCCGCTGCCTGGGGCGAGGAAGCGCACGCCCACCAGGGACGCCCCCGCAACTCGCTCCCGCCACCTCCCAAGGACAAGCAGCAGCGCCTAGCCCGGGAAAGACAGCTGGCGGCCAGGGAGACGCGCGCAAAGGCGGCGGCACAGATCAGGGACAAAGGAAGGGGTCAGGCGCACAGACCCCATCGCCACCGCCTCAGCCCAGCCAACCGCCGGGCACACGTCCAGCAGCGAGCCCCAGCAGCACGCCGCCCCCCGAGCGGGCGCGCGCCCCGACCGCGCCTCCAACCAGGCTCAGGGCCCAAGACCCGCCAAGGAAAGGCGCCTGACACCCCGCCCGCCCACTCGCGGTGGCGACTCGCCCCCGCCCACCCCGCGCGGCGACGGGCCGGCCCCGGCCCCTCCCGCCGCGCGACCCACGGCTACCAAGTCCGTTGGGGCGCCACCGGCCGTCGGCGCTGCTCCTGGCCCCCTCCCCGAGAGCGAGGGGCCCCGCCGCCTCGAACGGCGGCAAGGGCGAGTCCCAGACGCACCCATCCAGGGCGCCTTCTGCCCGGTCGCAGCGGACAGCCCGTGCGTCGAGGGCGGCGACCGCGCGGTCATCAAGAGCGACGCCCTCCCCCGTGCCAGGTGATTCAGTTCTGCGGGCAGCGCCGGGCCCCAGTCCACGCAGCCCCTGGACGGAGCGGTATTCGGACCCGTCCTGAACGTCTTGGCCCGCGAACAGGACGGGCGGACCCTTGTCGTCCAGATCGACAACGAGTGGCTGGAAGTCTGGGGCGCCAGCGCCAGGACGCCGCGCGCGAATTTAACGTCCTCCGCGGCGACGCAGCGCCCCAAGCAGCCGCCTTCCTTGGCAGGACCTCCGACGAGGCGCGCGGAGCGCAGGCGCCAGCGGCCCCCGCCAGCTCCTGGCTCGGCGCCGACATCGGGGGCGCCAGCGCGACGTCCCCAGAGGGGGCTCAGCCCGACTCCAAGCCTGAACCTTGCGCGCCGCGCACGGACACACAATGCCCCGCCTACGAACCGGCACCCCTCGTGCACCCTAAGGAGGAGGACCCCGACTGGACCAGCGACGACCAGGGGCAAGAGAGGAAGCAGGGGCTCGCGGAGGCCTTAAGCATGGTCCATACGGTCTCCTCATCTTCGGACCCCGACGCAGTCGAGGAGGGCCAAGCCAAATTGAGCCGTCGCGACGTACGACGCAGCAGTCCCGAGCGCGACTCAAGCAGTGCATACCAGACCCAGCCAGCCTGCGCACCCACGGCACCGACCGTGTTTTTGACGGCCGCCGCCGACAACCGAGCACTGCGCGCGCGGCCCAGATCCGAAGGCCCGGAAGACAGGCGACCCGCACTCAACCCCCTCTCTGCGCATGAGCCAGAGCGCTTGCGCGGCAGGGCGCGGGATCCAGTTCCCTGGGGGTCGCGCGAGACTGCGGCGAGGCGCGCGTCCAGAGAAACCAGCGACCGGGCCCGCGCCGGGGGGCGCGACCGCGACCGCGACCGCAACGCAGGCGCAGCGGGGGCACTGCGGCGCAATCAAGACACCAACGACTGGGACAGAACCAGGGGGCGCTACTGGGATCAGGACCGCGACAGTGGCAGGGGCACAGGGCGGACCCCCTGGCGCCAGCCAGAAGGTCCACGCAGCTCTGACCACAGGGGCGATCGCCGCTACCCTGACCCCAGCCGTCCACGGAAAATCTTCCGCGTCAGCTGGCAACGCCGTTCACGCGAGACAGCAGTCACGCGCCTGAAGTGGCTGCAGGCCTAGGGGGGGTGCCACTTCGCCGCAGCCTGGCACTCGCGGTGCAGGCATATGTGTAAGGAGCAGGGCAAAGGCAAGTCCAACGGCCAGGCCGCGTTCGATCCGAACTGCTGGCGACCCAAGATAATCGACAAACTTCTGGATGATATGGGCAGCTGCAACCATCGCGCGGAGACGCGGTCTCGATGCGCCGGCGCCCGCGTGGACTGGGGCCGGGAAAAGGCCCTGCAACAGGACGTCCAGAAGAAAAGAGAGGTTGCCGAAGGTGGAGGGCGCGGTTAGGACCAGGCGCGCAGCTCCGGGCACAATGACAACTGGACCGGGAAGCGCCCCAGGCGCTGACCAGCCTGCAACCGGCCCCCCCTGTCAGGCATAGCGCGCCGCGACCGCCTTCTTGCGCTCCCAGCAACTTGCGGCAAGGTCCTTGTCCAACCCACCGCAGGCCGCGCCCGCCACCTGTTCCCCCTTCCCCCTCCCTCGCCACCTGGCCTGGGACCTTGTGTCCCCCTGTTCCCCCCCTACCTGTTCCCCCGCGGCCTTGGCTGGCAGGCTGATCCTGGAGCCCGGCAGCCCGCGCGCGCCCCCGTCGGGCGCGCGGTGCAGGCGCGCGCGGCCTGACGGGCGCAGTGGCGGTGCATTTGATACGTGCGCGGTCCACTCGCAGCGTCCGCTTGCTGGCCCACCTGGCCCCCGACTGCGTTGCCTGCCCCCCCCCCCCCCCGCCACTTGTCTTTAGGCCGCGTGTCCTACCTGAACCCATTGGGAGCCCAGCTCCCCCCGCGTGAGCACCAACAGCGCGGGCTGGCACGTCGACGGCTGGCGGTGAGCGCTGGCCTTCCTCCTTCCTGTTCGCTTCTTCCCCCCCCGCTCGCTTCCCCCCCCTCCCATGGCGGCAGCGCCCGGCGCTTCGCGGCTTCGGCCCCGTGCCAGGCGCTGCACCTTGCCGCTTCGGCGGCCCCGCTCGCCATGGCGCTGCGCGGCTCAGGCCCGGCCCTCGGCAATGCGGACGTCGGCGCGTCGTGTGTGGCTGCTGCCCGCCTTCGCGCGCTGGCGATGCAGGGCAGGTTTTCTCCCTGCAGCCCACCGACTTCCTGTCGGTCATGGACGGCCCCCTCGTCTGAGGCCGCTCCTCAAGCTACGCTACTACCTGCGGTGGTCGTGGATTGCACTACCACCCCGGGCCTCTTCCGCATCACCCCGTGGCACAACGTTGCTCCTCGCCTTCGTGGTGCTCTTCTCCCTCCTGGACGTCGACCTGGTCAAGTGGCACGTCCTCCTCTGCAGCGCTTGAGGCTGGTGTTCGCGATGCGCCGTCGACGGCAACGCTTCCCCCTTCGCCCTCAGGGCCTTCGCCCCCGGCACCAGTCCGCGGCGCACCTGCTCCTGCGCATCTTCTTCGGCACCGCCTGCGCCCCGGGCCCCGCCCGCCCCGGCCGCCTGAGGCCCCGCCTTCCTGTGCCCAGTCTTCCTAATTAAGGCTGTGCGTGGCCCGCCTAGCTTTTAGCGGAAGAGGTTCGCTCTCGCCCCGCAGATCCAAAACTGTTTGTCGGTCTGTCTGTCTGTTCGTTTTTATATGAGCTTATTATATGCAAATATACACATATAAGAGGCTTGCGCCGCTCCGCCAGCCGCCAGAAGTGGCGGGGAGTCCACGATTGAGGCGTCGTGGGCCTCTTGTGCACTATCTGGGGACTCTTATGGGCGTCTTGGGAGCTCTTTGGGGGCCTGGCGGAGCCTCTTGGAGGCAGTTTTGAAGCGTCTTGTGGGCCGTTCTGGGGCCTATTGTGGGCCTCCTGGCCTCTTGGGATTTATTGTGGGCCTCTTTTCGGCCGCTTGGGGGCTTCTTGGAGCCTGTTAAGGCTTCTTGGGGCGGAAAGATTGGATTTGCTAGTGTTTTTCTTTTTGGCCTCTCTTGGGGCTTTCTTGGGGCTCTCTTTGGGCGTCTCGGACCCCTCTCTGAAAAAGCGCGCCCGCAGCGCCGGGAATATGAAAAGGGGGGCCCCAGCTTCAAGCTCCCCCCCTCCCCCTTCCCCCCCCCTCCCTTCTGTAAAGGTGTCTGAGCTAGGGGGGCCCGGGCCCAAAGGGGGGGGGCTTCGAAGTTACCCCCTTCCCTTCCTTTTTCTGGAGCAGAAGGTGAGCCCGTGCTTCCCTGTCAAAGGGGCGCGGGGGGTTCGGAAGCTACCCCCCGACCTGGCTGCACCTGGGCGGGGCGACCCCGGAGTGAAGCACCCGAAGGGAACCCCACGGCTCTCGCTGGTCACTCCTTCGGCAGTCGGCAATTTTCGTCGGGCCTTGCCCCTTCGCGCCACAACGCGCTGCAAAACCGTCTGAGCATCTGCAAGCTGCAGGTCCCATCACCCTGCACTTTGCAGCCCAGTTTGGGTGCTCGGGGCCCCGCTCTGCAAGCTCGGGCCTCCCAAGTGGGTTCCGTGCAGATGGGCATCGACGATGCGGCGCGATGCCGATCAGCTTTTCTCCACGCCGACGGCGGCGATGCAGCTGCGATGTCGCCGGTGCATCCCCGATGCATTGGCGATGCATTGACAATGCGGCGCGATCCTCTCCGACCCCATTTGCTCCGACCCCTTCTGGGAGGCTTCTAGCACGGGAGTCGATCCAGCTGCCTCCAGCAATTCCGCCACCGTGCCAGTGCAAAGGCCTCGTGGGGCAGAAGGCTCGAATTCTTGGTTCGCGCTTCCACTCTTGAGCCCTTCTTGGGGCCGTCGGGAAGAGGGGGTGGTGCATGCCCCTGGGCGCTTCCCGAGAGGGTGGGGGGCTCCCACAGGAAATTGCAGAAGCCCTGCCAGATAGCGTTTGGCAGTCTGGCGCGCCCCAACGTGCCAGGGGGCACGGTGGCGGAGGCCGGCCAGGCCGCCGGCCGCGGGCGCGCCCGTTTTCTGCACGACGTGCCGCCGCGCAGACGCCCTCGATCTCGGCACGGGCCTTTGCGCCACGGCTCGCCTTGAGGCGCCGCGCCGCGGCCTTGGGATCCGAGAGGGGCGCAGGCGCAGACAGCCGGCTTGGATTGCCGCCGTCGTCGGTCGTCGGTCGTCGGTAGCCGCCGTCCGCGTCCGTCGGTCGGTCGTCTGGCGGTCCGTCGTCCGTCGTCTCTCGTCCGCCGTCCGTCCGAAACCGTTTCGGCGCAGGCCGGGCGGCCCCTCGGGCGACCCCGCTCCTCCCGTTTGCCTGCGCGCGCGCGCTCGCGCGCCGCTGCACGCCCCCTGCCGCGGGATGCAGCCGGCGCCAGGGCGACCCAACTCGCGCGCGGGGGGCATGCCCGCGGGCGCCATGGGCGCTACTGGCATGGGCGGAGCGCGCCCGGGCACGATGGCGAGCGGGCAGGGCATGCTGCCCGGAACGGCGGCCCGCGTGCCCACCGCGAACCGCGGCATGGGAACCAGGGGCGGGATGACTGGGATGCGCCAGGGCACCGCGGCCAGGGGCCCTGGCGTGGGGACCTTGACGGAGGTGAAGGTCTCCGAGCGCCCCATGACCATGCAGGGCATGGCCGGGCTGAAGACGGGCGGGGTTGGGCCCAAGCGCCAGATCTACGACAAGACGTATCTATTGGCCTTCGGCCCATCCCGCCACTGGGCCTGGGTTGTGGTTGTGGGTCAGACAGAAGTCTCTCAGGGCCCCCTTTGCCCGTTTCGGGACGCTCGTGGCTCCGAACGAGTCATGCGGGAAGTGCCGGGGATCCGCGGGAGGCACGCCAGGAACGTCGAGCAAAAATCGGGAGTCCGGGTGGGGCCCTGGTGATATTCAATCGTGCGGACTGATGACTGAGGACTACAAGGGACCTGAGACCACTCCATCTCGTGCCTCGCGGCATGGTGGCGGATTACATGGGCGAGCTGCGCACGAGGCGCCAGGATCTGAACGACGAGATCGCCGTATTGAGCAAGGAGATCAGCGACATCCAGCAGGGCAACCAGATGTACAGCTCCCTGGAGAAGAGGTACGAGGCCCTTGTTAAGACGGTCCGGAACTTCGAGGGGGACCTCGCCGACCACAACCTCGCGACGGACAAGCAGCGCACGGACACGCGGCCCGAGGAGGTGCACCACATGTTCCAGGTCATGAGGCAGCAGAACGAGCAGCTGCGCAGCGACGTGGATCAGATCTTCCTCGAGAAGCGGGGCCACGAGGAGGAGATCGCCAGCATGGACCAGGAGATCTCGGCCATCTCCCGTGCCGCCGAGGACCGCCTGAGCGAGCTGCACCCCGACCAGAGGCGCGAGTACGAGGACCTCAGGGAGGAGAGCGTGCGTCTCGGCCAAGAGCTCTCCGACGCCCGAGAAGAGTTGGACCACGCGAGCGGCCGCCTCAACGCGGAGGAGGGCAGGCTGCGAGCCGACTTCCTCCGGAGCCGGTTTCAGCAGCTGTCGGAGGTGAAGGCGGAGCTCGCGGAGCGCCTGGCGGTGCTCGACCAGGAGCCACGAGCAACGAGCACGTCCATGTCCACATTATCCATTTCCTCGCGGTCGGGATGTCGAGGCTCGATCCCATGGGTACGCGATCGCATGGATGCGTTCCGCGCGGGGGCATCCACGTTGATCCGCTCTGTATCCGCAGGGTCGCAGCCAGGGAGTCTGGACCGCGAGGCCGTGGACATGGATATGTTTCCGCCCACGAAGGAGATACAGCAGTGCAATATGAGCGTCCCTGAGCAGAGGGAACTGCTGCTCAGTAAGGTCAAGAGCGACAATGCCGACATCGTGGTCGCTGAGAAGCGGACATTTGAGCTGAAGACGGAGAACGAGAACCTCCGTGCCCTCATAAAGCAAGTAGCCCACGACGCGCAGGAGAAGAAGGACGACCAGGATCAGCAGAAATATGAGGTGCTGTTCACCAAGGACCAGGAGATGACCCAGTTCATAGATTCGTTCCCCGCCCTGAAGGAGGAAGAGGAGAGGAAGCTGGCGGACAAGCAGCAGAACATCAAAGTGTTGCTAGAAAATATTTCGAAGATGATGGCGCTCTCTGCCGAAACGTCACCCGACGCCCACTTCAGCGACCTGCAGGACGACCTCGATTTCAAGAGTCGCCAGCTGCAGAACGCTGAGAACACCCAGTCGCGCTTAGAGCTCGACCTAGCGAAGCGAGAGAGCGAGCTAGAGAAAATCGAAACCTTGGACGTGAAGATCTCGCAGGAGCTGAAGCAGGTCGAGGAGAAGATGCACAAGTATGAACAGGAGATTGCGGGCAAGTACGACAACATCGGTGCGATGACACAACAGGGCGAGTCGAAGTGCAAGGAGCTCGAGGCCTACAAGAAAGCGCTCGAGGCTCGTGTGTCAGCGCTGAGTCAGCAGGTCAGCTTCGTGAAGATTGGCTTCGAAGCTAGGCGCCAGCAACTTGCGGACGACAAGACAACGTCCAATCTGGAGGCTCAGGAGCAGCAGATCAAGCACTACGGCGCGAACTTGTACAACCTGCGGACAAAGATCGGCGAGAAGGAGAAGGAGACAGACTTCGGGACGGACAAGAACGCCTGTCTCGACTGGGCCTCCCAGCTCAACAGAATTCTGCAAGATGCGATGCTGCGGCCCCAGTAGAGGGTCTGCAGGATCTGAGAGGCCTGAACTGGGCGCCTGCTGCATCCCCTCCCCCCTCCCTCTTCCCCCTACCTCTCGGGCTCCCCTCCTCCTCCTCCTCCTCCTCCTCCTCCTCCTCCTCCTCCTCCTCCTCCTCCTGGGGGACGGCGAGGTGCTGCTGCAAGCGGCACAGGCAACAAGGAGCTTGTGTCCATCCTGCAGCAGGCGATGGCAGCTTCCACGGCCAACAAGGAGCTGCACTCCATCCTGAAGCAGCAGAGCGAGCGCCTCGCGGAGCAGGTCGCCACCAAGAGCGGCACTTCCAGCGAGGTCGACGCAGTGAAGAAAGCTGATGGAGCGTGGAAAGCTGCCAACAACAGGCACGAGCAGATGATTAGTCAGGTAGTCGGATTGAGGAAGCAATTGGCTGCCGCCGAGAGCAAGGAGCGCGAGGCAGCCCTCGAGCTCGCGCGCACGGCGGCGGCCAAGACGGCGGCGACGGAGGCGCTGGCGCAGGCAGTCGGAGTGAAGCCCCGGGTGGCGACCGCTCCAGCCGCCGATGGCGCGCCGTCGGTGTTCGGCATCCAGATGAACATGGACGTGTTCGACTCCTTCGAGTCGTGGGACTGCGAGGAGGCGGACAAGCAGAAGTTCCGCGAACTGCAGCAAAAGCTGAAGCACTACCAGCAGACGCTGGAGCAGCGCAACAGCCAGTGGCAGGCCTTCGTCGACAAGGTGAAGTCGGCGCAGGAGGAGGTCGCGGAGCGCATGAAGAAGAAGCGCAAGGGGCAGGACGGCCAGGCCGCTGAGGGCGGCGGGGTCCCTCCACCCTCGGAGGCTGAGGCGGCGGGAGCCACGGGCTCTGCTGCTGACGCGGGCGGCGAGGCACCCAGTGCTGCCGCTGCCCGCGAGGCCGCCGAGAAGGAGGAGGCCATCAAGCAGGAGGCTGACAAGCTGTCGCGCGCTCGCTTCGAGGCGGCAGAAGCAGTGGCCAACGGCAAGGGCGGCCAGACCACGGGCAAGGGAGTTGGGCAGACGCAGGCTGCCAATTCGTGACTAGGTACTTCCACGAGTGTGTCGTCGTGCCCTTCCACGGCCACGACGACGGGTACGACCAGTGCGTCTACTGGTTCATCCTCTACCTCTTCCACTTCCGCTCTGTCCTCTGGCCCGTCTTCGTCTACACCTTCATCGGTCGCTGCAGGTTGTTCCACAACCACGAGCAGCGCAACCACAGCTATGTTCTTTTCGAATATCACGTGCATGGGCGACAAAGTATGGGGGCATGTCGTGGGCACGTTGATGCACACCTACGCGTACATCGGCCTGTGTGAGTCCCACGTCGGGGCTACGCAGGTGCAGCGCTGGAAAAAGAAAGCTCGTGAGTCAGCTCTCAAGTTTTTCGCGAACCCAGCCAGACCCAAGAGTAAATGGTTTAGCAACGCTGATCCAACTTCGAATGAGGGAGGAGAGATTTTCTTGTGTGCACGACACCGTCCAGCCCAAGTGCTGGATGAGGCGAGGGCAGTTCCAGGACTCAAGGCCGAGCGAGGCAATGCTTTCGACGGTTTCTGTCCGATGTTGCTTGAGCTAAAAGGATACTCGGTAGTTGTGCTCACTTTCTATGGTCACTCGTCTATCGGCATGCGTGATCAGAATGTTCCCAGGTTTAGGAAGCTCGCTTCCCTTCTCTCCTCGCTCCAACTCCCATGGATCGTTGCTGCCGATTGGAATTTCACCCGAGCCTCGTTAGCTCGGACAGGGTTCCTAGACAGGGTAGGAGGCCAGGTCCTTTGTTGCGAGGCCGATTTCACTTGTACCCCTGGGGGGGATAGCAAACCTTCGCACCTAGATTATTTAGTTGTCAGCGCTGCCGCGCGACCCTATGTCCGCGCCGTGCGTGCTGTGTGTGATGTGCCGTGGCGTCCCCACATAGGCCTCCATGTAGACCTCGTAGGAGAAGCCAGTCAGCTCTTCACCAGAATTTTGGAACTCGCTCCCAGGTTTCCCAAAGTGGCTAGGCCGGGGCAGCAAGCGATTGAAGGCTCGAAGTCAAGCATCAGCAAAGCCAAGCGAGACAGCTCTAAGAAGTTGGCGCTCGAGAAGCGCAATGCTCGCATTCAGGAGTGGTTTGGCGAGGCTCTTGCAATAGAAAAGGTCGAGAGCCAGAGCGAGGGGGAGGGAGATTCCGAAGGCGAGGTCGCGTCCCACAGATCGCTCGACGAGGGCGACCCTCTGGGCGAGGACTTCGACTACGACCCTTGGGCCAACGAGCCCAACTTCGGCACTCCCGAGCCCGCCGCCCCGCCTCTCTTTGTGGGTCAGCAGCAGCACGAGCGTAGTCAGCCTCAGTCATCCGAGCCAGCTCGTGCTAATTCAACCCCTAGTGAGCCTCCTGAGAGCCCCGCCCAGCCTGGGGGTCGCCAACAGAATCAGGTCCAAGTTGAATCGGTGAGCTCAGAGCCCCCTGACACCCTAGGCTCCGCCAGTTTCGCCATCAGTCACGACGAATGGATCCAGGCCAGGAAGAAAATCGGGTTCTCTCCGAGCTCGTCTAATCTCCCTGCACCTGCTGTTGCGTCCTCCGTAGCATTTCGGCTCGGATCCCTTTCGGCCGCTTCTCCACGCATCAGTTCCTTATATTGCAGTTGGATAAGATCGGTCGAGAGTGCCATTCACACGCACCACGGCCAGGTTGAGCCTCTCGTCAGCAGAGGGCAGGCAGTGCAATTTCGAGTGTGCGAGGTCCACCAGTCCAAGCCGCAGAGAGTCACTCCACTTCGTGACCGAGTTGCAGGCTGGTGGACCCGAGTGTCTAACATTTTACTTTCACTCCAGAGTCACCGTCGGCGGCAAAACGGTGACAAGCAGGTTCAGATATTGGTGGCAGCGCTCAAGAGTTTAGGTCTGCAGTGCCCTGACGAGGCGCACCGAGTCTTGCGGCGAGGTGATCCTTACAAGTGGGCACAGTGGCGACGGCAACTCGACAGCATCACCACGGTCGACGACGATAGTTTCACGAAGCTGGTTGAGTTTGCTGCGCGCTTGGCTAGGCGGGCCCAGCAGAGAGCGATCCAGAGATCGCTCAACGAATTTCGTGAATGGTCAGAATCTGCACCGGCTGTTGGCGCGTTACATCGAGCAATCAAGGAGACACCTATTCCCTCTGACACGCTCGAGGTGGGGCCGACGACGCTGGTGCACCCTCGCGATATCCTCGACAGCAAGAGCCAGCACTGGCAGCAGTTATGGGGTCCCGAGTCAGACGACTTCGATCTGCTCGTTGAGGTTTTCGACGAGATTCGTGAGCGAGTAAGAGGGGAGGCGTTGGCACCGCTGGAGGTAGCAGATATCCGAGCGGCCCTGCGACGGATGAAACCGTCATCTGCCATGGGGGTCGATAGGACATGCTGCTTGGACTACGACAGGTTGCCCGACGCGGCCATCAGCGAGCTGGCGGGCATCCTCACCCTCTGTGAGTGGCACCAGGTATGGCCTCACCAAGTGCTCCTCACGTTGGGCACCCTGCTGCCCAAGAAGGTGGCAGGGGACCGTGTGATAGGCCTTCTGTCACATCTGGCCCGCACGTGGTCCCAGGCCCGCGAGGAGCACGTGCGCGCGTGGACGGACCAGTGCGAGACGCACTGGGGCCGCGGTGCGCGGCAACGCTGCGCTGCGTGAAGTTTTTCTTCGGTCAGTTGACGAAGAGCTTGCAGTGCGACTCGGGGCCTCCATCGGCAACGGGATGATTGATATTGCAAGTTTTTACGATTCAGTAGGATGGTATCGCATGGCCAAGGCTGCGCTTCGACTGGAGTTTCCACCTGAGGTATTAGGGCTCGAACTTCAGCAATGTATGGCAGCTAGATGTGTCAGGCAAGGAGGGGCTTACGGGTCCCCGTTCAGCCCCACGCGCTCCATCGTGCAGGGGCTGAGGTCGGGCACGCGGTTCGGGAAATGCACCACCTTCCACATTCTTCAGCGCATCACGACATGCCATGTCAGTATGTCTCATCGTTTATGGGTGGACGATTTCAGTCAGACGGCAAAAGGATCTCGATGTTCTGTCAGGAAGCAGCTAGTGGCTTGCATTGTGGACACATGTCGGGAGCTCACGGCCAACGGGTTGAAAGTTTCACCCAAGTCTGTAATTGTGTGCACGCATCTGGCAGATGCGAGGTCGGTGGTGCGGCGAGTCGCTGCCCGTGGCTTCCAGGTGAAGGCGGCCAGCCAGGCTGCCTACCTGGGCGCCGACCTCGCTGGGGGCAGGCGTCACGGGCGGGCCACGCGACGAGCGAGAGCCCAGAAGCACGCGGCCATGTCCAAGAAGATCGTGGGCTTCGCTCGTGCGCTGCGCCGCTACCGTGTGCCAGCGCGCCTGGAGCTTCAAGGAGCTCAACCAGCGGGGCTGTACGGGCATCAGTTGCACGGCGTCTGGGGAGGTCAGATGCAGCAGGTCAGGAGGAAACTCGCCAACGCGGTCGGGCCACGCCTCACAGGCCGCTGCGTGACCACTGTACTGGACTTGAAGGCTGCTGACCGCGACCCTCAGTACAAGTTGCCATGTGACACGTTGAGAATGTGGCTTGCCATGTGGAGCTCACAACCGGCGTTGAGAGCAGGTATTTCACGAACATGGACGGATCTGGTTGCTGATTTCTCGGCGCTATCCCCTGCTGTTCGCTGTCGTCACATACGTGGGCCTCAAGGCGCGACGATTGCTTACCTTCTCGACGCGGGTTGGAAGCCAGAGTCGCCGAGCGCTTGGACCACACCAGACGGCAACTCTGAGTGGCAGTTCAACGCGTCTAGCATGACTGGTCACCCTGTGCTGGACGTGCCCGAGAGTTTCTTCGCCGAGTTTCGCTCGACCATCGAGGCACGCTCGTGGGAGGCAGCGGCGCGGCACTTCGGCGGCGCGGGCATGGAGCAAGGGGTGTGCAACCACTCCTACCGTCGTCTGCTGCAGCAGCTGGAGCTGGCGCCAGGCGGCAGGCGGCTTGCGGGGCTGCTTCTCGCCG